TTTGATGTAGGTCAGATTTGGAGGTTTTTGTGTTGTTAGAAGATCTATATATATGGAGGGTTGAAATCAGCTGGTGGTCAGAATTTGAGTTTTATAGATGTCTGTATGTTAGAAGATCTCTATATATGGAGGGTTGAAATCAGCTGGTGGTCAGAATTTGAGTTTTATATGTCTGTATGTTAGAAGATCTCTGTACATGTTAGTTTGAAATCAGCTGGTGGTCAGAATTTGAGGTGAATCTACATTAGATCTGTAGGTTTGAAATCTGCTGGTCGGATTTTGAGGTGCCTGTAGGTTAGGTTTCTGTATATGTAGGTTTAAAATCTGATGGGGTCAGAATTTGAGGTGACTGTACATTAAAAATGTAGGTTTGAAATCTGCTGGTCGGATTTTGAGGTGCCGGTAGGTTAAAAATGTAGGTTTGAAATCTGCTGGTCGGATTTTGAGGTCCCTGTAGGTTAGGTTGCTGTATATGTAGGTTTAAAATCTGATGGTGGTCAGAATTTGAGGTGACTGTACGTTAAAAATGTAGGTTTGAAATCTGATGGTCGGATTTTGAGGTGCCGGTAGGTTAAAAATGTAGGTTTGAAATCTGCTGTAGGTCGGTTTAGGAGCCTTCAGTAAGCTGACCCTATAAACCTATTATCGTATCAGTTCACTGAGAAACACAAGAGGTGCTACTGGAGGCAGGCATTGTAAGTGTGCCAACTCGGTACTATCTCTGATGACATTACTGATAAGGGGGAAGACATTCTTTGTTGAAGTATTTTAATGATTTATAACACAATACAGCTAACAAATAGCCTTTCTCAACATATTTTACCCTCCTATATAAGTTTGAATGGTTCAATAAGCAATCAGATTTAGAAAAACACTTTCTATTTAATTGGAAAATAAAATACTTTTCATATACAGCACAGGCTATTGTTGAAGAACTGGAGGAAACCCTGGGTTGTATATAACGCACTCAGCACATCTGGAATAGGGAGACGTTCCCCTGACTCAGCTTTATTATTTATAGGCTATAATGGGTAAAGCTGGTTCTGACTTTGTGAATTATAATATAGAATAGAATCATCTTAGAACCTGCCTTGTAGGTTCAGGCAGCCTGGGAGCCGGCCACTCTCACCAGTAAATAGGTTACTTGTTATGCAGCTCACATCTGGTGGACTGTGTTACATGTCGCTCTAGTGCTGTTGTAAAAAACACTGCTCCTACAAACGGGATACAGACTTCACAGAGAGACGAGAAATCTTAGTATTATAAGTGGTATAGATATCTCCCTTCATAGAAACATACAAAAAGTCATATGGTATTCTTGGAAGTTGAAAATATAATATTTCCATTTCCAATAGTGACTGTGTAACCATAGAATTGAAAGTAATTTAAAAGCAAAATGTTTTGCTGTTTTTGCTCTAGAAGTACAATTTATTTTTCTCAGCAAAATTTACTTACAAGTACATTCATTTGGGGAAAATAGCAGAAAAATCAAGGATGGGAACTTTCAATATATATTATCAAAATGTAGACATTATTTTACTGTTTTAATGATATAAATGATTCAGTACTTGAAAGTTTTGACAGGTATCTGACATTTAACTACCTATTGATTTAACACTAGTTTTTAGGACAATTGTCTGCCTCAGCTTGATTCACATAGACCGTTGATGATCATGACCTTTGATTTACAACAAAATAGAAAACTCCCTACAACTGTATATAGATAGAGAATGTACAAGGTGTCCCACCCGGGCCCTGCTAACTAAAAGCTTTCTAAAACGGTTTCGATATTTAACCAGGAATGTATATGGTACATGTACATTGTATAAAAGGCATCAAAATGCTATCTTACTTTGCAGAGAAAATTACTTAAATATTTAGGGCCCTGCTGCTTCAATACCACATGAAGAATACCACAGCTACAGAAACCTGAACAGAACAGTTACACATGGGGGTAGTACAATTAAACGCAGTACTGCCTACAGCCTGTTTACATGGGATAGTATAATTAAACGCAGTACTGCCTACAGTCTGTTTACATGGGGAAGTACAATTAAACGCAGTACTGCCTACAGTCTGTTCACATGGGGTAGTACAATTAAACGCAGTACTGCCTACAGTCTGTTTACATGGGGTAGTACAATTAAACGCAGTCCTGCCTACAGCCTGTTCACATGGGGTAGTACAATTAAACGCAGTACTGCCTACAGCCTGTTCACATGGGGTAGTACAATTAAACGCAGTACTGTCTACAGCCTGTTCACATGGGGTAGTACAATAAAACCCAGTACTGCCTACAGCCAGTTCACATAGGGTAGTACAATTAAACGCAGTACTGTCTACAGCCTGTTCACATGGGGCAGTACAATAAAACCCAGTACTGCCTACAGCCTGTTCACATGGGGGAGTACAATTAAACGCAGTACTACCTACAGCCTGTTCACATGGGGGAACTACAATAAAACGCAGTACTGCCTACAGCCTGTTCACATGGGGTAGTACAATTAAATGCAGTACTGCCTACAGCCTGTTCACATGGGGTCGTACAATTAAACGCAGTACTGTCTACAGCCTGTTCACATTGGGTAGTACAATTAAATGCAGTACTGCCTACAGCCTGTTCACATGGGGTAGTACAATAAAACCCAGTACTGCCTACAGCCAGTTCACATGGGGTAGTACAATAAAACCCAGTACTGCCTACAGCCTGTTCACATGGGGTAGTACAATTAAACGCCGTACTGCCTACAGCCTGTTCACATGGGGTAGTACAATTAAATGCAGTACTGCCTACAGCCTGTTCACATGGGGTAGTACAATTAAATGCAGTACTGCCTACAGCCTGTTCACATGGGGTAGTACAATTAAAAGCAGTACTGCCTACAGCCTGTTCACATGGGGTAGTACAATAAACCCCAGTACTGCCTACAGCCAGTTCACATGGGGTAGTACAATAAAACCCAGTACTGCCTACAGCCTGTTCACATGAGGTAGTACAATTAAACGCAGTACTGCCTATAGCCTGTTCACATGGGGTAGTACAAATAAACGCAGTACTGCCTATAGCCTGTTCACATGGTTACTAGCAGGGAGATTACCGACACATTATGGTGTATTTTCATTGCTAAAGTATAAAAAGTGAGAGCAAGCTGTAATCAGGGCCAAGTTATTACCAACTGGTGCAGCTGAAAGGTTTGTTATGTAATCAGATACAAAACAACATGCCAGATGGCCTAAATGTCACTTAAAATATGCATAATACATATGTATATATTTTGATGTACCGTATTCACTGTAGTAAGTGCTCAGGATGCTAATAAAATTGGCTGAAGGAATGCCAAAATAAAATATAAGTTATGTCAGAAAATTAAAAGGATATGTATGATAACCTTTGCAAGGAGAAATTTCTACCATATTTTATTTTAATATCAATTGCAGCATTGACTAGAAAAAAATCTGGTAATTAATTCATAATTGTATAAATTCTAGTGATTACAACCATGCCTGCCAAAGTAAATTGGTTCTACCTCACTGTGGCATCTGGTATATGTGTTGCTGATGTGGAGGAGTCGGGCTAAAGCTTTCTATAACAATGTAGACTGTCTGTTACTTAGGAGTTTCACATAGTGTCAAAGGTTAGGTGTCAGCCACTGTAGCTACAAGTGTAGGATATTCCCTGTAATGTGTATTCGGAATCCCTATGAGGTTGTCTCCCTTTGATCTTGTCACCTTGGATCACCAATCTGGTGTATAACATTAGGTGCCATGTGTGGCACACACCTAATTAATTAATAGGCTCTGTGACTTATAGGTCAGAGAGTGTTCTATAAAACATGATATCAAGGAAATTCAGCCTCATTAGTAGCTCAGGAGGAGATTCTGCTCTGTGTCCTGGTAGTCAGGAGTTCAAACCCCAACAAACTGGTTAGGATATTTCACCTCATATGACATACAACAATCAAGACTGATGGGAAAAGCATAAATTTGAACATGAAATTGCAGCTCAATGCCTTGGCACAAGAGCAAGTTCTTCAGATGTGTCCCTTGCATGATAGTGTCCTATGATAGGTGGCGGACACCTGATGTAAAACTTATTAGTGTTCACTACAGTTATCCATAGCTACGTGATCATCCCAAAAAGACTTGCTGACCCAACCCACACATATACAGTAGCTGTTTTCCCTAAATTTTGTTCTTGTGAAAATTATATTCATGACAAAGGTATTTTTAAGGAGAATAAGTTATATTCTTAAAACATCGCATTATTTAACAATTCAGATGGTGGCTCTGACACAATTATCAACATAATGGTCTTTTTGATAATAAAGACGACATGTATATGCAAAATTACAGCCACAATTATTGGTTTGTGAGATTCACAGCTGAACCCGTACTACTGCTATATACATGTAGATTGACACAGACTAAACATTGTCGGTATTAAAACATGAGATCTATTGTATTGTGGGAACCTTTTTTTTTATTCATAAACAATTTATATATTTGTTTTGCTGTAAGGTCGGGACAGACTCCAAGCTATGTTTGGAAATAACAATCCCATGCATTGTGGTGTACATTAGACCTAGTGGATAAAACACCTTTGAACTGTGAAAATGTTTTGATGTGAAAATTTACTGCAAATCCTCTTGTTGTAACAATGAACTTTACCATGTGAATATACCATTTCATAAAAACTACTTTAACTGTAGGTACAGTACATGTACATATTACATGTAAAATTTCACTAACTAAGTAACGTTACATGTTTTCCCACAATAGCATTGTTTCCTGCCACATATTTACCTAGTAACCTACATTTCCATCTACCAAATTACAGTATAAAGGTACAAAACAACTATATACCATCAAGGGACAATCTTCAGATTGTAAGTTAATAACAAAATATTTTTCTAACATTATTATGATATCATGTGATTGTTGAGTAAAGTCTACTGATGCAATTGACAGTGTTGTTAATTCTCCAATGTCTGCTATTTCAGGTAATTTTCCGAGTGCTGCCCCCGTTTATCCCGGTCCGTGATCCTTATAGTGTCAATGTACAGAACCTGCTGAAGTTAACCAACCTCCGAATTAACATTACTGAGCTGCACACACTTGGTAAGGAATACAGACAATATTTAACTCATATTTGAACATGAAATGTTCATTGAACTCTGCTTAAGTTAACCAACCTCTGAATTAACTTTACTGAGCTGCACACACTTGGTAAGGAATTCATACAGACAATATTTTATTCATATTTTAACATAAATTATTCATTGAAATCTGTATACTATCTACCTCGATAAACCTCAACAGAAATCTTTGTATATAAGATAGTATCACTTTGACCTGTAATGATTAATTAATTGCCAATTGGAAGTCTTTATATTTAATAGAACTTTTAGATAATGTCAATGTTTTACACCGTAGTGTACATACACGTTACCAGTCATTTATTTGTCTGATGAAGGTGACGGAGTACATATCGTACTAGTCATCAAAACGTCACACATGAACCTGTAGGTAAAGCTGATGGTATTGATAACACTTTCAGTCTTTTTCTTTCTCTACAATATTTCAAAAAACCTATTTGTAATATTAATCTTCAAACCATGGTATTAATATTTATTTTTCCAGGTGACACCCTTTTGGATAATCGTCGTGAAATCAAAGAGAAATACTACTACGCCCTGTACGACATGACGGTGAGAGGAAGTTGCAGTTGCTATGGTCACGCTGCCAACTGTGTCCCGGTACCAGGCTACAACAACGACCCCGGAATGGTGAGGACACTCCGTCGTACAGACCCAGAACCTGATATAGTGACAACCTGTCTTTACTGAACACCAGTCTTAACTGAACACGAACAGGACAGTTTTTCTGTTTAGATAGTCTGGTGTTCACTTTACTTAGCTTAAAGTACAAGGGTATACAAACTAAAAATTAATGTTCTTACTTCAACAGGTTTTCAATCATCACAGAAGTTTTGGGACTTTTTTAAATAGATATCTTAAAAAGTTTGTTATTCATCTTATGACATATAAAATTAAGGTTTTAGATTGGCTTGAATATGAATTTACTTAATATGTCGTCCTAACATTTTGATCTCGGATTTTAAAAGATCAAACAAGGACACATTTGACCCCGGTGACACTTATTATTTGGTGATGATATAAGTACCTGTAACCTTTATGTTTGACAGGTACATAGTTATACGTAACCTTATGTTTGACAGGTACATGGCCAATGTGAATGTACACACAACACAATGGGACGTAACTGTGAGTTATGTAGGGTTGGCTACAAGGATGTCCCCTGGCAGCCTGCTAGACACAACCAACCATTCGAGTGCCAGAGTAAGTCCACAGCCCCAGCCTGTCATTAGGCAATCAATCAATCAATCAATAAAAAACAATTGTTTGTGTGTCCCATGTCAATATATACATAAAATTGATGCATTTCACAACATTAACATCAAGACATTGCTGACTGATGTCTTAAAAGTAATTTAACATTAGGTCATAAATACTTGTCACAAATAACATTACACTTATGTTACAATACAATGTAGTAAAGTATACGAGTTAAATATATGCATCAAATAAAAACTATACAATTTTTCTAACTTTAAGAGATTTGATTATATACGTTTAAAAATACCTGAGGATGCAATCCTTAAACATTGGTGAATAGATCATAACATCAGCCAAACATCAACCTACAGGTTTTCCTCAAATAAATTGACTATCAGAATTGTCCATCAAGAGGTTATTATAGGTATGGTGGAACTAACTTTATTACGCCAGTTTTGGTACTCTAGATAAACTTACTCGGTAATTATACTGTGATCTAAGGCTCGAAGTGTAGCTGTAATGAGCCTGCAGGCTATTTTGTAAAAGAAGCAAGCAGTTTAGTTATTCATGAAAAAAAGCTCTCTGTTTTTGAAAAAATTGTCCCCAGGCCGAGCGTTTACCAAACTGGGGTAGGTAATGGGGTCTGTCCCAGGCAAAGGGGTCTGGCCCAAGGCAGAGCGTTTACCAAACAAGGGTAGGTAATGGGGTCTGTCCCAGGCAAAGGGGTCTGTCCCCAGGCAGAGCGTTTACCAAACAAGGGTAGGTAATGGGGTCTGTCTCAGGCAAAGGGGTCTGTCCCCAGGCCGACGTTTACCAACCTGGGGTAGGCAATGGGGTCTGTGCTCATACCAAAGGGGTCTGTCCCCCAGGCGGAGCGTTTACCAAACTGGGGTAGGCAATGGGGTCTGTCCCAGGCAAAGGGGTCTGTCCCCAGGCTGAGCGTTTACCAAACTGGGGAAGGTAATGCGGTCTGTCCCAGGCAAAGGGGTCTGTCCCAAGGCTGAGCGTTTACCAAACTGGGAAAGGCAATGGGGTCTGTCCTCATACCAAAAGTCATTAAAAATTTGTAATTGTAGTTGGTATTCCCTGCTTTACATTCAGCATTTAGGGTTGTCACAACAGCTTGTTAACCCGTTGTCAGTATAATGTGACTGGGTGAAATACTGTGCTGAATGCCTTCCGCACGGACTGTTTTGGATACGGTAGTTCATTGAGGTAGCACCCTAATGTCGGCATCAGATCCCAACTATCGCAAGGAGACAAATACACCAACATACCCTGCTTCTGGTACACAAGCACATATACATTGCACACATGGAGGCACATCCTTATATGACCTTAGCTGTTAATAGGTAGTTAAACAAAATAAAACCAAACCAAACCTGATCTAAAGTCTGATTATACTGACATCCTGTCATATAGGGAACACGGTTGTAATCTCTTATCTTATGAAAATCCATATAATAAAACTTATTTTAAACAAATACATTGTATCCATCAGGGTATTGGATGAGACAAGTGGATTGTAATGATGGCACACAGACTTAACGGGACAATACAATGTTTGTTTATGTTACAGAGTGTAAGTGTAACAACCACGCGGACGACTGTAAGTTTGACCCGGCGGTGTACGAGCAGTCCGGTAAGATCAGCGGTGGCGTGTGTATCGACTGTCGCCATAACACTATGGGCAAGAACTGTCAGGAATGTCAGACGTTTTACTACCAGGACCCAAACAAGGATATTCGTGCCCCGGACATCTGTCAGCGTAAGTGTCCGGGCCAAGGACAGAAAACTCGAGTCACTTCAAAACTATCCTGGTTAAAAGTGAATGTTTCAAGGTTTAAAAAATAGTAAGAAAAAACAGATAATCTATTCACATGGTGTGTTAAGTTTGTGAATCCTCTTTGTATCTAACAAACTAGTGTTTCTTTACAGCACTGGGATTCAAGATGGCAACTATGACCTGAGATTGGCTGAGACAATAACTATGCTACTTTGAGGCTGGCTTAGTTGACACTTTGTTGGGTTGATGCATAAGGGATATACTTTATATACATTTTGTCAAGAGGCCCTTAATTGGTAACTTCTCATTAAGTGGCTGGTATGGGTGTGCACAGTGCTTGTTGTTTATAGTTCTAGATCACTAATATGGGATTCTTGCAGAATTTCGGATTTTTACACACCGACCCATTGGAGGAAGTTTTTAGTAACTGTTTGAAATATATATCTACTATTAAGTATAACACTTATATACTATGTTCTGTTACTTACAGCCTGTGACTGTGACCCTGATGGAGCTCAGTATAGAGGTAACTGTGATAGCCACACTGACCCCGCCTACGGCCTGGAGGCTGGACGCTGTACCTGTAAACAGTACGTCACCGGTAAACGCTGCGACGCGTGTAAGGATGGCCACTACAACCTGACCACAAACAACCCTTACGGTTGTGATAGTAAGTAAAACATTTATATATAAGTATTAGACTTTACCACATGATTGACAGTGATCAGCAGGCATGTTGTCTACAGCCTGTGTACTAGAAAATACTGCCATAAGATGGGATCTTAATTTCAAATATTTAATTTCAACAGGAAGATTTTTTTTTTATTTGTGTGTGAGTTAAAAGGAAGTTTAGGGGTTATGAACAAGAGTAATACTAGAGGTTTACTCTAATTTGTAACTCTAATGATGGGAACTACAGCTGTTGAAGTGTCTTTTCTCGTATATTTCCTGCTTCCAAACATTTAATAATGTCTATCTTACTGATTTTTATAGGTAAATTACATTCACAGTGGGATATTTCCATATAAGAGTATGAGATTTTTATGGACAACTAGTTTTCTGGGGATATTTTTTCGCGCTAATTTTACTAAAACTTCACTTGCATCTTTTGCTGTGTAGGTAATCTCACCTGTTGGTTATCCTGTGTTACTGTATATAAATGTCATCAGATTTACTTTCAATAAAAGATTTTAATAAGAAAATTTCAGTCAAATAACTGGAACCAAACAAAACTAATTTGTTTGGTATTTAAACTCACTACATTGTGGATATGATAAATTCTATTTTGTTTCAGCCTGTATATGTAACACTCTCGGGACCATTGGCAACTACGGCTGTGATAAAGACAGTGGGCAGTGTTTCTGTAAAAGATATGTGACGGGCGTCAAATGTGACACATGTTATGTGAGTTCTGGTTATATAAAACATAAAATATAGCTCTCAACTTTATTATATGGATGTTAATGTAAATGTTATATTTATATTTAATTTCAATGTTAAAAAAGAACCATGAAAATGTCCTGTTGATCTTTCCTTCATAAATCTGTAACTGCCAGCAAAATGAAAAAGATAACCTTAATTACCTAGGGTCAGGTTTATTTTTACAGGAAACAAAAGGAAAGCGATTCCTTTGGTTTCCTGTAAAAATAAATGTAAAAAATGTATAATTAGTTTCCTTTTTGACCAATATCATTTTCATGTAAAATTCTGTTTTGGCTTTACCAGGGAAATATTTGTTAGGTAATATCTATAATGAAAGGTAGGATGAGTGTACATACAGTTGTCTATACGTGGCTGTTCCTGTTTTAGCCTGGATTCTGGAACCTGAGTGGTGAGGTGACTGGATGTTCTCCCTGTGACTGTGACCTGGGAGGGGCCGAGTCCGAGGTCTGTGACTCCCAGGACGGTCAGTGTATCTGTCGACCAAACATCGGTGGGCGCCAGTGTAACAGGCCTGCCACTGGCTACTACTTCTCACTCCTCGATTACTTCAGATACGAGGCAGAAGATGCGAGGGGAATCGGGGTACGAAGGTTTTATCACTCACTGTAAACATGGTTTTATAGGAGGTGTACAAACTCATCTCATTTCAATTTTGTAGAAAATTATGGTTCTTGTAGCTATTATGTACTTTGCATTGCACAGATAAATTTGGAAAACAATAATATTTTGATTCAAAGAGAATGTTTACATGTTCTGCATTGCCACCTTATAAACTTACAAAAGTAGTTGTGATTTATGATAAATAATCTGGCGTGATCATCATGATGTAGTTATAATTGTGAGGTTAGAACCATAACGTGGGAGATAATTGGCCGATACCTGCTCTATTTATTGAAAATTGTCTTAAAATTTTAAAAGAAATTTTAATCTTAATATCAATAATCTATCGTCAAAATCCGTGGAAAATATGAATATAAGTATTGAACTACGTTCTGTTAAGAGTTAGAGTCCTATAGTTGTGAACACAGCTGCAGACAAATACTCGTATTCTATTTGACTGTAGTACTGTTATGTTTGACTGTAGTACTGTTATGTTTGACTGTAGTACTGTTATGTTTGACTATAGTACTGTTATGTTTGACTGTAGTACTGTTATGTTTGACTGTAGTACTGTTATGTTTGACTGTAGTACTGTTATGTTTGACTGTAGTACTGTTATGTTTGACTGTAGTACTGTTATGTTTGACTGTAGTACTGTTATGTTTGACTGTAGTACTGTTATGTTTGACTGTAGTACTGTTATGTTTGACTGTAGTACTGTTATGTTTGACTGTAGTACTGTTATGTTTGACTGTAGTACTGTTATGTTTGACTGTAGTACTGTTATGTTTGACTGTAGTACTGTTATGTTTGACTGTAGTACTGTTATGTTTGACTGTAGTACTGTTATGTATCAAAGGACTAACTGTGAACAGAATGCAGTGTAAGGCTTATATAGGGTCGAGTGGGACATTTTTGCCTTTTTGGTCATCGGTAATGAGGGTGAACCTATCACAAGAGCCAGCATAAGTAAACAACATGATAAAAATAGCAATCAAATGTTAAGGGCCAAATTCACTTGGTGAATACAGATTTTACCAGTGTAGGGCACAAGTCTGACTGGGCGAAAGTTTCCCGTTATACAGTATTTCAGTTCACTTTTAATTTCAAATATACCAGATTCATTTTCTGTTCCACTGTTTCATTGATGCCATATGTTGCTCTATAGACTAGAGAACTGCTTACGTTGATGCTATATGAGTTTCTGAAGTACTGAAAGATTGATACTTTATACTAATAATGTTTTTGTGTTATTACAGAGGACGAGGCTGTACACTCTGCCATCCTACAACTACTCTATACTACCCTGGAGACAACAGTGGACTGGACAGGGCTTCATGAGGGTTAGCGAGGGGGACAGCATTGAGTTCACCGTCAATAATATTGACTTCCCTATGGACTACGACATTGTCATCAGATACAACCCAGCGGTAATTATCCTAAGATTTCATTTGCGTTGTTTCTAGTTTATCCAATTACCCATAAGTTGAAGAAAAATGAGTTTTTCTATATATCGACACATTATTTAACTCCTCCAGGTGGGAGAAAAATCTATGTAATACATAATATTTTAATGCAAATTTGATGTCACTCTTTTTGATGTTATATCATTCTAAGAAAAATTACAAGAAAAATAACTGGTAAGCTGGACATGATACACTATATTAGTCATGTGAAAGACATGTATAAAATCCAGACTTTATTTCAATGGTATGTAATATCTATTTTTGCGTATATGTCTCAAAAATAGTGACAATTGAAAAATGGTAGGATCGTCAATGTGAAACCAAAATGTCCTCCTAGTTTGCATCAATTGATGCTGTACTCTCCAGATTCACCACTTATTGACTTGTGTTATTGTAGCAGAATTAACTAATTATGAACATGAAGTCCTTGTAATACACCTACAAATGTCAATATACACATTTATACTATCTGTTAATGCACAAAGGAGTTCGGTAAGTAATTCAAAGACACTTGTACAGTCAAACCTGCGTTCGGGGTGTTTATACAATTGTCTCCTTACACAGGTGATCTCAATACAGATTTAGTTATCATGGATCTGTTATTACAGGTCATTTCTAAAAGGAACTTCAGTTAACATGAAATTAACTGTAATGGGGAGTTGAAAAATAAGTTGTCTCTTTACACAGTAGGTGTTTTGATAGATGTGATGTCTCAAGCAGGTTTGATTATAGGTTGTTGTTCGTTATTTTTGTGTTCACATTTTAATTCAAATGTTTTTCATTTTTCATTTTTTATTTGTGGGTTTTTCTTGTATTTTGTTTACTTCAGACTTTACTGTCTTTTGATTTAAAAAAAGGAACAGTATATATATCAAATATGAAGAAAATACTGATTAAACTATCATACTGGTCACACAAAAACAGGATTATTTTTTATGGAGAAACCTATTTAATCTAGATGTTTTGTTTTCTGAAAATTTCTAGAATGAGTTCTTTACCAGATTAATGAACACAACTTTTCATTGTGGAATTCCTGTTTGTAAGGATTATCATATACATAATTAATAAAAATGCCAGATAAAGATAGAGGCTTCTTGGATATTGAAAAATATGCAGCATGTAATTGTATTAAACGGGCATATAAGAATTTTCAGGTTTGGTGATACATGTATTGCTTTGTTTAGCAAATAGATGACCGGGTTTATGACACAATAGACGACTGATTTTATAATTTTACACATTAGATGCAAGATATATGGGAGGATGTACGTGTTTATGTTGTCCGTCCTGGACCAGTCAACGAGTTTGGACCATGTGCCAACCACATGCCGTCAGATGACGAGAAAGTAACCAGCCTTATGACAAGTAAGTAATAGTGTGTGATAGGGAGGTATCACCACTGTGACAAGGTTTCTGTGATATCGTACCATAGACTTTATCCTCAGTAAGTAATGGTGGGGGATAGGGAGGTATCATCACTGTGACAAGGTTTCTGAGATATTGTACCATAGATTTTATCCTCAGATTTCAATATTGTACCATAGACTTTATCCTCAGTAAGTAGTAGTGTGTGATAGGGAGGTATCATCACTGTGACAAGGTTTCTGTGATATTGTACCGTAGACTTTATCCTCAGTAAGTAATGGTGTGTGATAGGGTGGAATCATCACTGTGACAAGGTTTCTGTGATATTGTACCGTAGACTTTATCCTCAGTAAGTAATGGTGTGTGATAGGGTGGTATCACCACTGTGACAAGGTTTCTGTGATATTGTACCGTAGACTTTATCCTCAGTAAGTAATGGTGTGTGATAGGGTGGTATCACCACTGTGACAAGGTTTCTGTGATATTGTACCGTAGACTTTATCCTCAGTAAGTAATGGTGTGTGATAGGGAGGCATCATCACTGTGACAAGGTTTCTGTGATATTGTACCAGAGACTTTATCCTCAGTAAGTAATGGTGTGTGATAGGGTGGAATCATCACTGTGACAAGGTTTCTGTGATATTGTACCGTAGACTTTATCCTCAGTAAGTAATGGTGTGTGATAGGGAGGCATCATCACTGTGACAAGGTTTCTGTGATATTGTACCTTAGACTTTATCCTCAGTAAGTAATGGTGTGTGATAGGGTGGTATCATCACTGTGACAAGGTTTCTGTGATATTGTACCATAGATTTTATCCTCAGTAAGTAATGGTGTGTGATAGGGTGGAATCATCACTGTGACAAGGTTTCTGTGATATTGTACCATAGACTTTATCCTCACTAAGTAATGGTGTGTGATAGGGAGGTATCACCACTGTGACGAGGTTTCTGTGATATTGTACCATAGACTTTATCACCAGTAAGTAATGGTGTGTGATAGGGTGGTATCACCACTGTGACAAGGTTTCTGTGATATCGTACCATAGACTTTATCCTCAGTAAGTAATGGGGTGTGATAGGGAGGTATCATCACTGTGACAAGGCTTCTGTGATATTGTACCATAGACTTTATCCTCAGTACGTAATGGTGTGTGATAGGGAGGTATCATCACTGTGACAAGGTTTCTGTAATATTGTACCATAGACTTTATCCTCAGTAAGTAATGGGGTGTGATAGGGAGGTATCATCACTGTGACAAGGCTTCTGTGATATTGTACCATAGACTTTATCCTCACTAAGTAATGGTGTGTGATAGGGAGGTATCACCACTGTGACGAGGTTTCTGTGATATTGTACCATAGACTTTATCACCAGTAAGTAATGGTGTGTGATAGGGTGGTATCACCACTGTGACAAGGTTTCTGTGATATTGTACCGTAGACTTTATCCTCAGTAAGTAATGGTGTGTGATAGGGTGGTATCACCACTGTGACAAGGTTTCTGTGATATTGTACCTTAGACTTTATCCTCAGTAAGTAATGGTGTGTGATAGGGTGGAATCATCACTGTGACAAGGTTTCTGTGATATTGTACCGTAGACTTTATCCTCAGTAAGTAATGGTGTGTGATAGGGTGGTATCACCACTGTGACAAGGTTTCTGTGATATTGTACCGTAGACTTTATCCTCAGTAAGTAATGGTGTGTGATAGGGAGGCATCATCACTGTGACAAGGTTTCTGTGATATTGTACCGTAGACTTTATCCTCAGTAAGTAATGGTGTGTGATAGGGTGGAATCATCACTGTGACAAGGTTTCTGTGATATTGTACCAGAGACTTTATCCTCAGTAAGTAATGGTGTGTGATAGGGAGGTATAATCACTGTGACAAGGTTTCTGTGATATTGTACCTTAGACTTTATCCTCAGTAAGTAATGGTGTGTGATAGGGTGGAATCATCACTGTGACAAGGTTTCTGTGATATTGTACCAGAGACTTTATCCTCAGTAAGTAATGGTGTGTGATAGGGTGGAATCATCACTGTGACAAGGTTTCTGTGATATTGTACCTTAGACTTTATCCTCAGTAAGTAATGGTGTGTGATAGGGAGGCATCATCACTGTGACAAGGTTTCTGTGATATTGTACCAGAGACTTTATCCTCAGTAAGTAATGGTGTGTGATAGGGTGGTATCATCACTGTGACAAGGTTTCTGTGATATTGTACCATAGATTTTATCCTCAGATTTCAACAAGATTTCTCTGTAGATATAATGCTTATGACATTAAATTTTAGTGAGTTGTACCTTAAATAATAAGTTTGAGACATAAGAGTTCATTGATACAGTTATGTTACTTTTCTATGTTACAGACCGGAGTTACACCGTCGTGTCTCCCCCAGCCTGTCTAGAGCCTGGCAAGGAATACACCATTAGGCTTGAGTTCCTCCGTTTTAGAACCAATGCTGAAACACCTGATGCAGCCCTCAATATTGATTCAGTAAGCCTCACTTTGTGTTTTTTTTCTATTTCACATCTTTGTAAATGCTTGTTATTATAACATATTGGATTTGAATTTTTTTTAGACTTGCTTTCTTATAAATGAAAATGTAGTACAAAGCAATATATCTTAATGAACATTTCTAATAATTTTATATGTAACCATTTAACTTAAGTATAATTGAGACCCTTCTATGGATTTGAAACATAACATGTAGGCTGGTCCTTCCTACATATAACTACAACGCCATGACTATTTCTGCCCCAGATTGTGCTGGTGCCTAGCCTGAACACTGTGCCGATCTTCTATGGCTCGGGCTACCCTAGCTTCCTGAAGGAGGAGTTCCAGCGCTATGGTTGTTACAACTCCCAGTTAAAGGCTTTCCAGGAGGAGCCCCGAGATTTGTGTTATAACCTCACCTTCAGTATTTCCTCTGTACTCCACAACGGAGCTCTCGGTAAGGGTAGATAACTCATGTACTCCACAACGGAGCTCTCAATGGGTAGATAACTCATCAGAGATTGTTTGTCACAGATCAGTGGTTAGTTCTCAAAACAATTGCTGACTGTAAATTTTGACAATAACAATGAGTGATACAGGTCACTAAAGATCTTGTATCACACAGTACTTTATATACAAAACATTTTGTTTATAACGTTTCATGCCAGTTGTCATAAATATTAAAACTTATAGAAAATTATTTCATTTATCTGGAGACTCCCTTTTAGGGTGCAGATTTTTTTTACTGATAATGTTAAATCAGAATGATATACTGTAAACAAAAGCAGAATAACTCTGTTGTTACGGTTTATATGTTTATCTTCCCAAGATAAAAAATCTTTTAATATGCTGTAAATCTACACACCTAACACACCTAAACTGCTGTATGAGTTGCTTCATTAACCACATTATGGATATTGAAGTTTTTGTATTATTCAGATAAAGTGAACTTGTTAAAATTTTCATTCATCTTTTAAAATAATTGTGTTGTATATCTACCTACGTATTGTCATCACCTAACTCACAGTATGAGCTAGCCAACAGAAGTCCATGTGTCTCTGTATTTTTGGACAGAGTGTAACTGTGACTCAACCGGCTCCGTAGACCTTGAGTGTAACGTTGCTGGCGGTCAGTGTCGCTGTAAGACAAATGTTGTGGGTCGACGATGTGACCGATGTGCACCAGGAACTTACGACTTTGGACCTGACGGCTGCAAACGTAAGTTGTCTTATCAGATAGCCCCTGTGTCATGCAGTGTTCTGAATATGAGTGTGACACACATTTTTGAATGTAAAAAGTTTAATTGTTAAGGCACAAGTATTGACATCACAATTGTGACAATTGACATAGCATCATATACTTCACGAAACTTGACAAGAGTCAGATCGAGAAAACATTGTTATTTTCAGAACATTCACATAAAATTGATGTAAAAAATATGGTAATTTCTTAAAACCATGTTGTTAAATTTCTGGAAAAGCCTGCTGTTATTTTAATTTTCCCAAAATTGCTAAGAGCCAAGTCCCTTATAAGATTCAAGACAGTAATTCCTGCACCCATTTATATAAAACATGAAAGTAACATATCCATTGAAATTTCTTCTTGCTATTGGTACTGGTAACTAAGATCTGACACACAACAAACAAACTGATGTGTTCTACTGTTCATGGCATCATAGACTGAGTCAAGTACGAAATTTTGATGTATCATTTCACTTAGTATTGCAATCATTGGTTGATATTACAGCCTGTAACTGCGTTGGGGAGGGATCTCAGGACAACTTCTGTGACAAACAGAGTGGGCAGTGTCTCTGTAGACGTAACGTAGGCGGTAGGATCTGTGACCGCTGTGTCGATGGTTACTATGGCTACCCTAACTGTCGTCCCTGCCAGTGTAACGGAAATGCTGATACCTGTACCAATGAAATAGGTGCCTGTCTTCAGTGTCGTGACTATACAGTGGGAAACAACTGTGAATCGTAAGTCTATTTGGTCGTGTGTTTTATGTTTTAAAAATCAAAAAACAAAAATCAAAACTTATCAGAATATATATTTAAAGGAAATTGGCACATGTATCCTTTTCACTGATAACAGAGGTAATACTTTATCTAGATCTTCATGTGTGATTTATTTATATACTGTTAATGAAAGCAGGTACTGAATCTGTCACAACTGTTATTTTTATAGATGTGCCCCAGGCTACCACGGTGACCCACGTATCAGTTACCGTATTCCCTGTGAGCCCTGTTTGTGCCCCGGAGGACCAGACAGCCCCATACAGCATGCTGACTCGTGTAGCGTAGACCCCTATTCTCGTAATCTACAGTGTAACTGTAGACCAGGATACCAAGGTATGCTGTCGTCAACCTTTATACGTAGTCTTCAGAACTCTCAGGTGTTTTCTGTAATAGAAACAAACTCCCTAGCTTGTTGTTGTAAAGCAAATTATTTTGGTTACAGAGTCGATTATAGATATTCGCATTTGTGAAATAGGAACATACCCAGAGGTCTGTTGTTTTCTGACAAACTTTGATATATGCATTCAATGCATACATTAACGTTTACATGTCCACCAGATGTAATGCACCTCAAAGTAATACATTTAAGTTAGAGATAAACCTGTCGCTCCAGGTGAAAGCTCTTCTCCATTGTGCCTTTGTTTGTTGTGATATTTTCCTGTTCAGAAATTGATAATGTAAAGTTGTATTGACTTATTCATTGTGAGCTGAACACAATATTGAGATGTGTGTTTCTTATAAGTAAGTAAGTGTTAGGTGAGTAAGATATTGATTCTTGTTTATAAGGGAGGACAGGTAGGAATTCCTGTTTATAAGGGAGGACAGGGAGGAATTCTTGTTTATAAGGGAGGACAGGTAGGAAGTCTTGTTTATAAGGGAGGACAGGGAGGAATTCTTGTTTATAAGGGAGGACAGGGAGGAATTCTTGTTTATAAGGGAGGACAGGTAGGAACTCCTGTTTATAAGGGAGGACAGGGAGGAATTCTTGTTTATAAGGGAGGACAGGTAGGAATTCTTGTTTATAAGGGAGGACAGGTAGGAATTCTTGTTGATAAGGGAGGACAGGTGGGAATTCTTGTTTAGAAGGGAGGACAGGTAGGAAGGATGAGTGACACTTGGTGTAATAATAAATCTGTGTTTATGTAAGTATGAATAACCTGTATCTGTACCATGAACAGCTCCCCGATGTGACCGCTGTGCTGAGAACTACTTCGGCCACCCGAGCCAGCTGAACGGTACATGTGAGGCATGTATCTGTAACAACAACATTGACCCTGATGTACCTGGGGGCTGTAATACCACCACCGGACAGTGTCTCCTCTGTCTCTTCAACACGGAGGGCTTTAGCTGTGAGAGGTGTAAACCAGAGTACTATGGTGATGCTACTACACAGAGCTGTAAAGGTAAGGCATTATATTGGTGCACCTCACTGAACTATTAAAGGATCTGCTCTCATAGAAAATATATTGGGGTTTATAGCACACTGAAATATTAATTGGCTATTAACATAGAAAATATATTGGGTTTATAGCACACTGAAATATTAACTCGCTCCTCAAATGTATCTGGTACCTAGTAGATGTGTGCAGCAACATTACTGGAAAAAAATGTAGCAATATTAATACTGATATATAAAGACATGTTACTGATAACTGATGTGGTTGGGTTGTATTTTAGACTGTGTCTGTGATATTTATGGAACTGACCGTAACGGTGGCCCCTGTGACCGAGAAACCGGCCAATGTCCTTGTCTTCCCAACGTGGAAGGCATGAGTTGTGATCGCTGTGCAGTCGGCTTTTGGAACATCACCAGTGGAGAGGGCTGCTCCTCCTGTGGCTGTGACTCCTTGGGCTCTCTGGGACCCGAGTGTAACCAGGTATGTGTTGATGTACAAGCTGTTGGTAGTTTGATTGTCAAAAACATGTCTGAGATCTAGCTTTCCATATCTTAAGACTGTTTGGTTCTTGTTTAAGTGATTTTGCAAAAATGGAAACCACTATTTGTAACACATATTCCAATGATTGATATTACTGTAATTTTCTCTACTGTGTAATTTTGACAGTTATATTTTCCCATTGTTACAGTTTGACGGTCAGTGTCAATGTAAGCCGGGCCGAGGAGGCCTGGACTGCAGTGAGTGTCCAGCTAATCACTGGGGAGACCCCACTAGAGAGTGTTATCGTAAGTAGTTATCATGATATTACCAAATATTCTAAATAACTACCATGGATAAAGCTAAACATTTGGTTCTTGTTTGTCAATGTCAGCACTAGCCATTAAAAAGTCAGGTTACAAGCAAAGAAGTCCATTCTTAATCCATTAAGTAATTAATGCTTATATGTATTTTATTTTTTCCTAAAGTTTTAAATAATTACACACTGTGGATGATAAATTGAATATATGTAACAGGAAGGATTTGCCAGTTGATACTTACTTATAGATGTTAGTGTCACAATGTAAATCAATGTCTCTATGTCTTTACAGCCTGTGACTGTGATGGTCAAGGATCTAGTCAAACCCAGTGTGACCGTCGTACTGGTCAGTGTGTGTGTCTGACCGGTATCACTGGCTACAAGTGTGACCGCTGCGCTAGAGGTACCACCGGAGAACTGCCAAACTGTAAGCCGTGTGGGGACTGCTTCGATAATTGGGACCGCATCATTCGTGACCTCTCCGGTAAATATTACACTGTGTGTGTTGTGTAAATATATAGTACACTGTGTTATTGTGTATAAAATGTATTTTCTATGTAATGTACTATGGAGTAACTGATTAACATTCACAGTGTAGTGAACAGTGATGTACAGTCAAATGTGTAACTCAACCCAATACTAATCTAGGCAGTGTCTTATAGCACTGAAATCCTCCTCTGCTTAAATTTGTTCAGATAATTCAAATATCTCATAATCCAAACCTCTCACAACTGCTTTATAAAAAGACAACATCAGTGCCAGAAAATACTATTCATGGTCATTTATCTTAGCTGATTTACAGCCTTGCAATGTAGAGGTTCATCTATGTCAATAAGGACGTTTAGAGTTGTCTTTTGTTAGTGTTCAATTATTTATATTGACCCTAAATGCGACGTATTTACATATACTGAAAGGGGGGAAGAGCCAACGCTGGTCCAGTATAGGTAGGATCCTAAGGTAGTATAATCGCTGGAGAATGGACACCAATGGGTATGCAGGGAGTCACTCAATAGGAAAGATCAAACATCGTAGGTAGGAGTGTTCTCAACATTAAACAGCTTCACAAGTTAAGTAGGAGGAATACTTTTATTACATGCCGACGGGTAATAAAAGTATTCCACCTACTTAACTTGTGAAGCTGTTTAACGTTGAGAACACTCCTACCTACGATGTTTGATATTTACATATACTTACTTTTAACGTTTCATTTCATTACTGTTTAAAACTGAACACTCATCACAAGTTAGGCCAACAAAAGTGCTTTTAAGATTGTTACAGAAATGATTTTGATATGAGGCTTTCCTGTAAATCCTTTGATACAGCTAATCAACTCATGTTCTTGTTTCATCAGATGATATTGCGTGTTTGGGCTTGCGTATTACCACTCAATAAGCTTATTTGTATAAAGTATAGGCTATAGTGACCTCGGAAAAATGATGTTAAAATTACAACCTAGGAAAGGAGTTTTGACAGGAGTGAAAATACATTGATTGATAAGGATAAAGAAAGTTTATATGTACCAAAATCACAATATATTTGAAAAAAAAAGGTTAATTTTAAATACTGACTTATTACAGTCTCTGTACAAGAAGTTTTGTTTAAATTTGTGCCATAACTTCATTTTGGTTGATGTTATGTGTTTTTATATTGAAAATTTTGCTAAATACATATTTAGAGGTAATATTTCCTCAAAAAATATCTGTGATGGTTTTAATTAGTTAATGAACAGTGAACAAATGCTCTATTTAATTTATCGTAGCAATGCTGTTACAAAGAACTTCACTTTTCTTATTTCAGCCCAGACTTCCGGATTGCTGGACGATGCTACCAGGATTAAAACGACAGGTGCTGAGAGGGCCTTTGATAAGGAGTTTAGACAGATGGAAGATAACATGGAGGAGATCAGACAGATCGTTAACAATGCCAGTGTAGCCTCCACTGATATGAAGGATCTGGAGGACCTTCTCAAGCAGCTCAGGTAAAATCTTGTTCTCCCAATTTTTCAGGCAACAGAGGAAAAACCCTAAGACGATGATGGTTCTTCTTAATTCTCCAGCATTTGTTATCAATTTGATAGCAATGACATTTCTTCTAAATCCCAAAGCAATTAACCTAAAATTCTCAATAATGATGGTTCTTTCAGATTGTTTTGCTAAAGTCAAATTTGTTTTTAGCTTTTAATGTTTGGTGTTTGTGAAACAATTTTTTTGGACATTCCTTGAGGAGACTGTTGTTATATTTGTTACAAACACGAGACATTCATTTTCAAGTGGGACAACTATGATTTTGTAATATATACACAAGACTTTCCTTTCTAGGGTAGAGAACACTAACATTGTCATAAGCATGAATTCACAATGAGAATAACTATACAAACATAATTTTGTAGTATTTTGTTTAATTGACTCTTTTTCATTTCACAGAGACATTTCATAGAGATATATGTATTGTTAACTTGAAATTGATTACAGGTTATTTATGCTGATTTTTGTTCTTACTCAAATCTTAACACTGACCTATATATATTCTTTGAATAAACTTATCTGAATCTATATTCTCAAGAATGTTGAATTTAACTTTGATCTGTGTATGTTGCAGGCAAAACCTGACAGAGAGCATGAACCAACTGGACAGCACAGAGCAGGGTTTGGACAACAGGATGGACAATATCCGACAGGGTAACAATAACATCCGTGCCCTACAGACACGTGTCAATGATCTCAAACTCAAGGCTGACCAGCTCGTCAAAAATGCCTCGGCCATCCGTGCCAAGGATGTGGAAGGTGGGTTATTCACTGATATAATCTGTTACCTGTATATAGTTGATAACGATTAATCTTGGTCAAGGGATGATATTACCATTCTTATAAACGTATAACAATAATTGTATTTTGGTGCTCTTTTTTCAAGTTATTTGTTTTAATAACAATATGATATGATGTCATAGTAGTAGAGCGAATTTTGTCTACAAATTTTAAAATAAAACAACGATTTGAAAAATATTCAAAAATATTTTGATCTGGTAACATTGTCCGCTTTCAGTATTGCAATCATAAATTAAAATCATGAGTGTGTTTTCATCCAGGTCAAAATAGGTTAGAGCAAAGCTTTGAATTGAATGAGAATGCCTCACTACTGGAAAGGAAAATGTAAATATTTGGAGGACCATTCTCTTCTAAAAAAGTTTAAACAGGAGTGTTCAAAGAAGTACCCAGACATTGTTAAATCTGCAAAAAGAACAACATTTGCACAATGTATTGCATACTGTTGTAATTTCATGATTTCACGATGGTGAAAATAACGCCACAGCAAATCTTCCTTTCCTGAATCCCCAAGGATGGATTTCTTCATTGTGAAACATGGCTCAAATTCTGTCACAATGCTGAATGTTTTGTTGCCCAAGTCTTCATTACGATTTCTGAATCTTAAAGACTGGCAGCTCTGTAGTAACAAATGACATTGACTTTGCAAGGAATTTATTGCATTTTCAAATGCACCCTTGTCATATATCCTTGTACATGCAAAGTATACTTTATATAAGGAAGAACACTGATTGCATTTTCTACAGAAACATGGTCTCAATTCTTTCAGGTGCATTTAACATCACAAAAGAGGCGCAACAGCGATCACAGATGGCTCAAGCCAAAATTGACAACACTCAAAACATCATGGATGAATCGGAACGTGTCCGACTGGAGACAGAACGGATGCTGGAGCAAGGACAGGATAGGTTTGATAACCAGTTGGCTGAGAACAGGAACAACCTTGCTAATCTTGACACCTCAGTTAGTGGTCTGTCAAACAGGATATCCGACATCAATGAAATGGTTAGTGGTAGCTAGTAATTAGGGCTTTTCACCAACTGGTGAAAAGACCTATTGTTTTTGTTAAGTTTCTTATTATTCTTCTTATTATTATTCTTCCGTACTTTGTGGAATCTGTATCTTTTGATTGGTAAAAGAGAGGTTAATAGTCTTTTAAGTATGTTGTAGGAAAAGTTCTAAAGCTGATCAAGCAACATTTTCAAGGTGGTCAAAAATTAAATATGGCCGCCATGACATCATAGGTCAAAATCTTAAAATGGCCATAACTCAAAAACGGTTTAATTTACAGAATTGACGCAACTATATTATATGTAGATAAGCTTCGGGGTTAACTTTATTTACCACATGGTTTTTCATTTAAAGGTCAAATAAAAAAGCTCGCTGTTGGGTCAAAGGTCATAATTTTTAAAAAACATTCATTTTTCATATTTTTTGAAAATACTTCTACAGATCAATGAAGAATGTCATTCCGATGAATTTGATGTCTTTAGTTTTTCTGTAACATTTACCGTTAAGGTTGTACGCCATTTTGAAATATTTCCTTTGATCTTTTAAAAATTTCGCAATATATTAAAACTTGTTTTACTCCAATATCAATGACAAATATTTCGTTTAGTTGTAACGGGAAAAGTTTCCCTAGATGTCTTCTAACATTTGGTAACACTTTCAACTTCATCAAAAAAACAAAATGGCCGCCATGACGTCACAGAGTAAAATCTTTAAAACCGCTATAACTTGAAAACCGTTGATTGTACAGAATTTGTGAAAGTAAATTATTTGTAGATAATTTCCATATCTAACTTTTTCTCACTACATCTTAAAACAAAATATTTCTAATTAAAAAGTGCGCCCCTGGGTCGAAGTTCACCAACTATTTTAAAAACATTCATTTTTCATTATTTTTGAAAAAAAAATCAATAGATTGATAAAGAATGTCATTCCGATGAATTCGATGTCTTTAGTTTTTCTGTAACATTTACCGTTAACGTTGTACGCCATTTTGAATATTTCCTTTGATCTTTTAAAATGCTGACAATATGTTAAAACTTCAACGATCTTCTTCTCCAATTCTGCCATTGCAATATTAACCACAATTAATACATGTATTCCTCTAGGGGCCCTTACGAACTTATGTTACTTTTTGGAGCCATTAATATTCCAAGATGGCCGCCACGAACTCTGATTGGTTAACAGCCTATACCAATATATTTCGTTAACGATATCAAACACGAGGTTGATCTTTGGATATCATATAGAGATAGCCAAGGGCAAACTTTTTCTTTCATACTGTTTTAACAAAAAATGTCAACTTCCGGTTTCCGGCAGGGGTCAAAGTTAAAATGCACTATATTGGGTACCAACCTTAAAAAATCTTCTTCTCAAGTTCCACAAGGTCTAGAGTCTTGATATTTGAGAATAAGAATTATGAGATGTCGGGGTATCAGGTTTGAAAAAATGGTTGACATTGATCAACTATCAAGGTCACAATCAAGGTCACAAACTTCATATGTGCTATTTCAAGATAATGACTTCAAAAAACTTCTTCTAAAGTTCTACAAGGTCTAGAGTCCTACTATTTGAAACATAACATGGTCAGGTGATTGACTATCAAGTTTGAAAAAATGATTGACCTTGAATGACTTTCAAGGTCACAGAGGTCATATATGTAAAAATATTGAAACCACTTTTTCTGAATAACCAATAACTCCAGGGTAACGATGTTTGGCAAAGAAGCATGCTTGCATGAAGGGCTTTAACGTGTGTGCAAATGAACGACCTTGACCTACTCCAAATATAATTTCAAAGGTGAAAGTCAAAAACCGTTTTCATTTTTGTGCAATTGTGAAGTGCTTTCAGTACTCTCAGTACTTTGATTTATATCAAGACATCTAATACACACTGGTAATACTACATCGATTACTACGCACTCGCAATCTTAAAAATGTGGACAGTTTACACCTCTGTTGCAGTGGGTAAACATCAGCCTTTCCTTGGCGAGGCAAACCCAACCGATATAGACACAAAGAAAGTTTCAATAAATCGTCCTTACGTACATAATGGACGGACTATATGACGACATTAACGGACTACATTCGTATACAACACCGCCCATTTGCTGCCTATATTTATCCAATCTTTCTCCGACGTCATTTCGCACTCCGGGAATCCCCCACTACTCAGTCAGCTACTGTAGACTTGCACAGGTTATTGTTACATGTAGAAGGCCAAATAAGTCCTTACAGTGAAAAGCCCGTCAAATTGTTAGCCAACAATTTCTAGTTATTATTGTACTTATTGTAAAGCTATGAGCAATGTCATTTTAAAGCCATCTGTCACCAGCGTCAAGCAGAATGTTGAAATTATAAAGGGGGTTTGTCAATAAAGACAGATTTGTTCAGAATTTATAGACCATTACATTACGCTGACTTCTTACTGTGTTGTAAATCAGCTTACTGTAAATGTAAAAATTGTCTTTGAGGTAATTAATAATGTTTTTACACTTTGCTATTTTTTATGTGTGTATAAATCACATGACACATCAGTAAACGTAGGTGAAAAATAAAAGAACTATCCCATGGGCTGGGATTGATGAAACCTTTTATAGCATCAGTAGCAAAAAGTTATCTTTATATTTTGATAGGATGTAGTGAATAGATAGATTACTGTTTTTTATGAATGAAAATATAACAAAAATCTTACGTAGGAGTGAAATATAATGTAAATACTGGTATATTCAAAGGGAAATGTTAATTGAGTTTTTAGCCCACAATCAACAGATGGTGGGTTATTCAAATCATCCTGCGTCCATGGTCCGTCTGTCATTCCGTCTGTCCTTAAACAATTCTTGTTAAAACATTTTGGGTCTGATAAAAAAACAACCAAGATGGCCAACGGGCGCCATTTTTAATTGTTAGAGTTAAAGCTTTTTAGCTCTATTTCTCAGAAAGTATTAGTGAAAACTTTCTCAAATTTCGCATGAATGTTTCCCATGGTCCCTAGTTATTAGCTCACCTGGCACGAAGTGCCAAGTCAGCTTATGGCGCGGCGTCCGTCGTCCGTCCGTCCGTCCGTCCTTGTCCGTCAACTTTTCCTTTAAACAACTTCTTCTGAAGAACGGACAGGCCTAGAGTCATGATATTTGGCTGAAAGCTTCGTTGGTAGGAGCCCTACAAAGTTTGAGAACGAAAATGACCTTGACCTGTTTTCAAGGTCACAGGGGTCAAATATGTCAAAAACTTCAAACGACTTCTTCTGAAGAATTAAAAGGTATAGAATCTTCATATTTGGCTGATGGCTTCCTTGGATGGAGCCCAACAAAGTTTGAGAATGAAAATTACCTTGACCTTCTTTCAAGGTCACAGGGGTCAAATGTGTCAAACACTTCAAACGACTTCTTCTGAAGAACTGAAAGGTATATAATCTTTATATTTGGCTGGTGGCTTCCTGGGATAGAGCCCAACAAAGTTTGAGAATGAAAACTAGTTTGACCTACTTTCAAGGTCACAGGGGTCATATATGTCAAAAGCTTCAAATGACTTCTTCTGAAGAACTGAAAGGTATAGAATCTTTATTTTTGATTGATGGCTTCCTTGGATAGAGCCCGACAAAGTTTGAGAATGAAAATGACCTTGACCTTCTTTCAAGGTCACAGGAGTCAAATGTGTCAGACACTTCAAACGACTTCTTCTGAAGAACTGAAAGGTATATAATCTCTATATTTGGCTTGTAGCTTCCTAGGAAAGAGCCGAACAAAGTTTGAGAATGAAAATGACCTTGACCTTCTTTTAAGGTCACATGAGGCAGATATGTCAAACACTTTAAACGACTTCTTCTGAAGAACTGGTAGTTATAAAATCTTAATATTTGGCAGGTGGCTTCCTGGGAAAGAGCCAAACAAAGTTTGCGAATGAAAATGACCTTGACCTACTTTCAAGGTCACAGCGTTCAAATATGTCAAACAGTTCAAACAGCTTCTTCTGAAGAATTAAAAGGCATAAAATTATAATATTTGGCTGGTGACTTCCCGGGATAGAGCTCACCAAAGTTTGCAAATGAAAATGACCTCAACCTACTTTAGAGGTCACAGAGGTCAACAACATTTTAATGGATTTGTTCTTGAGAACTAAAAGGAATGGATTCATAAGATTTGGCTGGTAGCTTTTTGGAATAGAGCTAACCAATTTGAGAAGGAAAATGACATTGACCTACTTACAAGATCACAGGGGAAAATATGTCAAGCAACTTCTGAAGAAGAATCAAAAAGCATAGAATCTTATAATAATATTTTGCTGGTAGTTTCAACAGATGGAGCCAACAAAGTTTGCGAGGGAAATATTTTTTGTGCAATATAATATTTAATGAGAATATTTTGCTACGACTGCTTAAATACTCAGGTGAGCGATACAGGCCCTCTTGGGCCTCTTGTTCATATCAAATTTTGATACTGATCAGAAAACCAAGATGGCTAATAGACGCCATCTTGAATTTATTGAGTAAAAGTTTGTTAGCACTATTTCTCAGAAATTACCAGGCAGATCTTTCTCATATTTCACATGAAGGCTCCCCATGGTAGCTAGTTATGCATATTAAATTTTGACACTGATCGTATAATAAATGGCCACCTTGCAGCTATCTTGGATTTTGACAGTGAAGGTTTGTTATGGCTATTTGGCTAACTACTGGATGGATCTTTCTCAAGTTTGGTATGTACGTTCCCCTTGGTCTGTAGTTGTGCATGTTTACTTTGAGACTAATCGGCTCATTATTTCCCATAAGCAAAATGACTTACAGGTGGCCGTCTTGGAATTTGACAGTATATTTTGTTATGGATATTTCTTAGAAAGTACTGGATGGATCTTTCTCAAATTTGATATGTAGGTTCCCCTTGGTTTTTTTTGTGCATGTTTAATTTTGAGACAGATGGAATAAACAAAACTGTTGACAGGTGACCATCTTGAATTTTACAGTTAAAGATTGTTATATTACCAACTCTCAGAAAATACTTGAGGGATCTTCCTCAAATTTGATATGTAGGTTCCCACTGGTCCTTAGTTGTTGATGTTGTATTTTGAGAGTGATCATAAAATAAGATGGCTGCAGGAAGAACTTAAAAGATCTTTCTCATATTGCAATGACCGATTATATTTCTTTCACATTAAGTGTAGGCACTGTACTTTAAATAAATGAAACCACAAACTCACATTAATGGTTGTCTTTTATATACAGCAGAATGAAGTTTAGATCAAAAGTTACCTCAGGGTGCATTTACTGTATACAATGAGAGAAAAGAAGAGAAAAGATCAAACTGACATAGAACTAATGAAGATGGTACAATGATAGGTGCCAAGATTCATCTGGGATCTCTTGGTTTTTTTTATTACATTTCCCAAAACATCAGAAGATTGTCATTAGCATTGACTGGATGGGACAATCACCGCTGTAAAGACATACAGATAACTCATTATTTTACTGATAAAAAAAAACCATGTAATAAACTTGCGTAATGTTATTCAGGTCTGTGATGGGCGTGGTGACCCTTGTGATGATATCTGTGGGGGCGGAGGCTGTGACAAGTGTGGTGGTGTGGGCTGTGATGATGGAGCTGTAACTAAGGCTGAAGACGCCATCAAACTTGCCAAGGATGCGGAGAGTCTGCTTGCCATGAAAGAAAACGATGCCAATGTACTCCTCAGCAGTGTAAGTCAACAGAATCTGTGCCGTTAATGTAAAACTTCCAACGGCATGTCTCATTATTTAAAAACTATGTAAACTTGTTTGATGATGGTAGATTTGAAGTGTACTTCGGGTTTAAATTATGAATTTACGAAGTAATGTTCCAATATTATTCTGTTAGTCAGATTCTTGATTTTTAAACAATGTTAAAGGAAAAGATTCATGCAAGTCTCTTTATTCTACCAGTAAATAACAACTGAATGCCTGCTAAAATGAGGTTGTCTGTTGTGACCTCTATTGTCTGTTGTGACCTCTATTGTCTGTTGTGACCTCTATTGTCTGTTGTGACCTCTATTTGTCCCTCTGTCTGTCTGTTCCTGTAAGCTTATCTGAACTACTTCCCAAAGAATTGTGTAGAATGAAACTTGGTACATTTTCTCAGTATGTAAGTTAGTACATGGAGTTAATTACATTGTTTTTTTTACACTTTTTTCCATTTCTTAAGGGTTATCCCCTGTTTTATGAAAAAAGATGTCTGTTCTACTCGTCTTAATTAAATTTTCCATTAAGACACTTTTTATGCCAAGTTAACCCCTTCATGTAAAAAGATGTCCTGTAAACTCCTAAAATGCTGCATAAATTTGAAACCTTTCTAACATATTTTACATGTCTATCTTGCATCCTTTCAATGCCTGTTACAGATCCAGACTGTACAACAGGGGGCTGAGGAGGCTAAGAACTCAGCGACCATGGCCTACAATGCCGCCCTTCGTGCCAAGAACGAGACTGAGGTGTCGCGTCTCATGTTGGAGACCCTTCTTAACGAAGTAGCTGACTTCCTGTCACCATCTTCTGGAACACCAGAGGCAATAAGAGATGTATGCACAAGATTAGGTTCAACATGTTCAGGATGAGTTTGAATACTCCAAATTAATTTTGATATGGAAAGGTTGTATATTCTGGAATCAGCCTGTCTGTTTGTTTATTTATAAACACAGTCACGTCTAGATATCCAGACACTAACTACTTTCCAAAAACATTCCTTTGCTCCTGAAAGTTTTGGCTGTATTTCTGTTTGCATATTTTTTTAGTGCCCATAAATTTTAGTGTATTATCAAATTTTAATAGATTTTAGTGCATTGATTAATCACCTCAGCCCTGAAATGTGTAATAGAAGACAATAAACATGATTTTCAATTAGCGCATTCATAATTCAACTTTTTTAATTAGAACACATAAAAATAAGTCTACTGCTAATTAGGTACGTTTACAATATCGGCATTTTTCTGTGAATTTGAAAAGTGCAAAAATAAGTTCCTTGTGACAACATAATGTGTTAAATACCTCCGAGAAGCCTATGTTTATGGTAAAGATAAGTAAATGAGATAAGAATGATGACTAGGTGTGATGCCTAGGTGTGGTGAATCAGATGACTATAATAACTTTCTTGTAGATTGCCGACGAGGTGCTGGCCATGAGCATATCTCTGAGTCCACAACAGATTACAGCACTGGCTGATGAGATCAACAAAACTATCCAAGGTCTCCAGGACATTGATGTCATTCTCAACGCAACAAGTGATGACTTGAACCTGGCACAGAAACTCAAAAACCAAGCTGAAATGGCAGAGTAAGCTTTCAATGAAATATTGTTAAGATTTATTACGAATTTTGAGATTTTGTTTTGTTTTTCTGGCCTTCATAAATTGAAACCACCCAGCCAAAGCGTGCTTTATGAAAAACAGCCTAGCTATGGTGCATTCCATGAGGAAAAAAGAAGTCATACTTACCTCTATGTATTTGTAATGATTATACAGATCAGACTTTCATGATTACTATTATTTGGTTTCATTGGAGTACAAGTCAAGCTAGTGTGCTAGACCTTGTATGATAGATTACCTTTAATCATCAGAATTGTCTCGATGAAAACAGCTTTTACTCTTATATGAATGTAAGCTTTACGTGGGAGGAATCCGGAGTACCCAGAGAAAACCCACGTGTTTGGGCAGGTGACACCATACCTTTTCACGACTGATAAGGGAATTGTACCCCGGACACTTTGGTGAAAGGTGAGCTCGTTATCCCCCACCAAACCACCCATACTCTATTTAAACTGTTACTTTGCCTGTCCACAGGGCGGATGCTAAGTCCATATTGGGAAAGGCAGAAGATGTTCTAGACAATCTGCAGAGTGCCACAAGTGCCCAGGAGGCTGCAGACCGCGCAATCAACCAGGCTGACAGCGACATCTCAGATGCAGAAAGGGATTTAACACAGGTAGGCTCATCATAACTGGGGAAATGTGAACTGTATCAAATATTTATTTAGCCCAAATAAATATCTCTGTCTTTTGACTGAAGTGACCTTTTGCGATGTGCTTTTCATGCATTGTATATAATTTTTCACGCTTTTGACCTCAAGAATGAAAGGATGGATGTCAATAGAACTCGGTAGGAATCATGATATTGTCACATTGTTTAAACGGTGGGCTTCAGCTCGAGAGGGATTCTGTTAGGGGCCAACAAGGAGAAATTTCATACAAATTCAAAATTTCATTTCTAAAAGCCAGTTTCCCTTTCGTCTGGAGATTAGAACATTTTTTGAAACTATTTTCATTGGAAGGCAAAGTTACTGATACAATTTATTTTCATTTCAACTGGTTTTATTTTAAAGTTATGCCCCTTGTCATTAAAAAAAGAGACATCTGGAAAATCCTTCTAAACCGTTCAGCTATGGAAAAGGTGTCCAGTATCTTATGTAACTTGTAACCCTGCAACTGACTTTTTTCAGTTCAAACTAATTTTGTTGGTCATCAAACTGGGAGTATTAGTTGGCCTTTGGCTTACAGTTTAAATATTTTGATATACATGTGCAAACAATTTCATTGTCATAAATTTCCATTCAAAAATATGTCTGCAGTATATAAATGATATTCCAGATAGACATGACCTTCAGTTAAATGTAATATTCACACAATACTGTTCTGTTGGTGACCTACTTGTACTAACCCAGTGTAATGCATTTTACAGTTTACATGCCAGTGTAGCACTTTTTTAATGTAACTTTGGTGGTTTTAGATTGAGTCAGAAACGGCAGCAGCAGCTGAGAAGTCTAATCGTTCTCTACAAGCTCTAGAGGAACTCCGCATCCGACTCATCACCCTTGGTAACAAGTACATTGGTAACGACCGTAAGGTCTTTAGAGCAGAGGAGGCCGCTCGGGCCGCATCCACATTAGCCACCACTGCCGAGATGGTGAGTACAGACCTTATTTACAATCAGGCATAAATCTGTTCTGCTTTTGTTTATTGTTTTTCAAACAGTTTTACCAGTTTAAATGACAGTCAGTTATGAAGTAGGGATGGCTCGAGTGGTTGGATGTTGTTTTCTGCAAGCCTTCACAGGCCTGTATTCAGTTCTACAGATATGCAAGTGTTTCCTTCCTAAAATATCAAATCTAAATCTAGGCAAAGTGATTCTCCCACACAAACAATAATTATCCTGTTTCGAGGAACTCCTTTGTTATCACTTGTGTGAATGCTCTATGTTGTACAGTATAACAAATCATTACATGTGATCAAAGATTCATTGAAGGTATTTCAACAATTCAATATAAATATTCCAGGTTTAGTATCGGTATTAAAAGTTTCATTTCCTTTCAGAAAAAAGCTTATAGGCATTGTCAATATGGTGTCATGTTCAAATAGATTGTTTAATATACTGTGTAAGTTGGAATGATCACTTGTGATTTGCAGTAGATTTTTAAGGAAAAGTTTTCGTTTTTGGTCAGGTTATAAGGATAAAACTAGATTAGGACTAAATGGAAATATTATTGATCTGTTTTATCACAGAAAGCTGATGAGCTAGCCAACGAGTACACTGACACGGCCGACAAGCTCAATACCAAGTACAACCTAACGTCCGTGGCCCAGCAGCGGGCTCAGGGCCTCAAGGACAAAGCTGATAGGTTGGCAGGCGACACAACAACCAAACTCAGTAAACTGAAAGGTATTTGTCTCCCTTACCACACAGCAGTGTTTACCTCGGGCACCCAAACAATCACGTTCTGTTAGTGACATGACTGTATTCTTTGTAAAGTGGGTAAACGAACAATTCCTTCTAAAGTTATGGGTTGTATTTATTATTGTATAATAAATAATAGGTGATCCATTTATTGTTGTACCAACAAAATAATTTTCTTGAATTATGTGGATTTATAGGTTAAAATAAGTCCTTTTATGTTAACCTCTTCACCACTGTAGACCATAATGGATTCATTCAGATCTATGCAAAGTAGAGTCTGCTGAAGTTATATAGGGGTGAAAGGGTTAAACATCTCCTCAACAACAAAAACTAAGAAACAAAATCTGACAAGAATTGTGATAGAATGTTTTTTAACTTTATTTTTTTTATTTTTTCAGAAATGAATAGCAACTTTAATACAAACAAGAAGAGATTAGAGAAACTTTCTACAGACATTGATGATTTGAATATTCGAATGGACGACTACCTACAAGCAATACGGGACAAGTCTGATAGCTATTTCAAGTGTAAAACTTAGTGACATATGTTCCCTAGTGTTATGTTGTACTATACCTATACCTTATTATGCATGTAACAAGTTGCAGGTCTTGACTTTATTGTGCCATGGTACTCCCCAATTTTTGTTACCCTCTCTCCTCTTCTCGATGCCTGTCCCCAGCCTCTGGAGATTGTTCGCGGCAGACTCTGGTTGTTTATAATTATTCTATGTTGTGAGAATGCCAAACTTAATTTTATATGTGTTTAGCCTAGTTTTGTAGATGAGTATCTTTGTGATGAGAATATTTATTTCATCATTTCAGTGTTGTTGGAGGATATTTACGCTACAGTTGTTTTAGCTGTTGGTATTTCAGCAGTGCCCCCCACCTGATATTGAATGTTCAGTTCCGCTATGTGCACAAATATTCAAGGACAGATTTTCATTGTTTAGGTATTTCTGTGATACTGGATATCTATGTATTGTGGAATTAATAAAATCATTTTGGATCATGAAAGCTATCACCTCAAACATTGGTTTGCCTCATCACTTTTCAGATTTTATGTGACAGTAAATTTTGTTTCTAGGAAATTTTACATTATATACAGGTACATACGATCACGTTGTTCAGCCTGTTACTGTGGTGCATTTCTATGTTCAGTCGTTGTTTACAGACAATAATATGCATTTGAAGTTAATATTTGTGGTATTTTTATTCAGTATTGTTGAATGTCAGAAGATAAATATGTACAGCTGTATCTATGCATGTATGTTGTATATCTGTAAAACCTTACCTGGATACAACAGGTCATGACAGGGACGTTGTGACCTTGTTACTAAATCAAAAGTCATGCCTAGGACAGCAGGTCATGACAGGGACACTGACCTAGTTACTAAATCTAAAGTCATGCTTAGGACGAAAGGCCATGACAGGACACTGTGACCTATTTAAATAATCTATAGTCCATACCCAATATAACAGGTCATGGCAAGGACGCTGTGACCTAGTTTCATAATCTATAGTCTATACTCAATAAAACAGGTCATGGCAAGGACACTGTGACCTAATTTCATAATGTATAGTCTATACCCAATAAAACAGGTCATGGCATGGATGCTGTGACCTAGTTACATATTCTATAGTCCATACACTCCAATGGTACCTTAAGTATGACCCAGGGCTACATTTTTGTAGTGGCCAGTAGCCGTGTACATGTAGGATATTATACCAGAGTGATTAAACTCATGGGGGCCGTGTAATTACTCCAAATGTGTATGGTAATGAGTTTAGTGTATATAGTATGATAATTTTTATTACAATTTTTAAAGTCATAAATTTTTATATTTAATCATCATTTTGCAATGTATGTTATTTCTGCTGTGTTCACTAGTACACTGTGTCAAATGTATGGTTTTTATCCCACAAAATACTTAGTAGGTTACAAGAAATTATTACAAATCAAAATCCTTGACAAATCCAGTGTATTATGATAAAAACATTTTCATTTTCTCATACATGTGTTTGTATTTATCGGACAAAATCTAGTTATTATAAGTTCATCTCTCATCTGTGTTAAGTCCTACATGATTCTTGTTTCTTTGTGTTTACCAGTCCTGTGTCTAAAGCACCTTGTTATCTGTTACAGAGTTGAGCTGCCTAAATCAAATTATGAACAATATTACTATTGAATTATTTCAAAGCCTTATAAAAGAACAAAAGATTACAAAAAATGACTGAAAATTCATTCTGTGTTTTGTAAGATTCTTAAAAAAACAAAAAAGTAAAGTATTTTTATTTTTATTTTAGTATTTTTTTACTATTTTCATTTTGATGCCATTTTTTAATTTCTTTGGTTATACACATCATTGATTTGATGGGTATTATTTTACCAGGGGTATACCAATCTACTAACGGGACGCACGGAGCTAGTAGATGTTATGTTGGGGCTAGTGATCATTTACTATGAAAAGATGGTCAGACTGATGAAACTTTTCAGAATCAACCTAACGGCTAGCATTACAAATATAAACTTGTACACCCCTGTTACACATTACACCGGTCTGAATATTAACAATGCAAATCTGACTTATTCAAATTCAATGGTGCCAAATGTTCTTCTGTTATCATAGTAAAAATAAATTAAATTCTGTGTACATGTGAACACTTGAATATAATTTTTCGAAAAGGTACATAGGTACTTTAAAGGCATTTTTTAAAGAAGAAAATAGTTGGTGTGTTTCGGTTTACTTTTGCCTGACCAGATATTTTAAATAATTTTTGTTACAATTGAAGTTTTGTGTACATGTCATATCAATATTACGTGTATTTTAGTGTAGTATTTATTCTAGATCTGTGTCTGCATAATACAACTCCTGTTGTTTATCTCTACGTAAAACACAAAATAAAAGGCGGTCGATTCGTGTCTCAAGACCTTGCTCTATTTCACTGCATTCGTACAAATTTAGAATGATACCGGTGTCAACGTCCAGTGTTATCTGACAAGTTTGGGTAATTGTAGATTTGCCAGTTAGCACAATGAAAATATTATAAATGTATTTCCTGTCTTTCATGTTGCCCCTTGAAACTTACCATACATGTGATGAGTTATGACTGAAGTTGTAGAAATCCAGATACCCAGTTAGTTGGGCAATGATGCTCAAACTATTCATCACGCTTTTGCTGCGTCTATATGGTACTTTGCAAAGAACTATGTTTCGTTTCATTTTTAAACACTTGAATAATATTTAAAGGTAATTTTCTTTAAATTGTTTTATTAATTTTTTTTTTTTAAATATTTTAATTTATCAAGTGTTTTTGATGGATTTCTTTTTACCTCAGCCAATTAAATGTATATCGTTTTTAAGTATGGAAAATATTTTACATGAAAACTGGTGATTGATAGATACCAAAGAATATTAGCGAGTGATGCCATTTTCTGTGTCTGAAAACATGTCACGAAGGTACTAGGGTGTCGAAGTACTCGTTGCAGTGGTACTTGGGTATCCACTAAATTGCTGCTGCAGTGCTTGGGTGTGCGAGTACCGATGGCAGTGTTATTCAGACTTCAGCCAAGATGTTGTCAGTTTTACCTGTGTTAAATCATCCCCATCAAGTGAATTCAATTCTATTAAAATACCAGCTATGACGTCTCATATGTTGTTTGGTCTTTATTATTCATGTCTCTGTCGTCAGTTACTGATCTATGCAATATTTTGAACAGACCTTTATTGGATGAAAATCCATTGCTTTAAGTGGAGTATTTGGATTAAAATTGCTATCAACGGACAAGAACAACTGTCTTGCTGTGATGGCATTTGTGACTTGATCATGTCAGAGAAAAGAACCTTTAAGTTCACCAAAGCTAGAAAAACAACTTTTGGGACCAAAGATAAGGAAGAAATCTTCAGTTAAGTTCATAAAAGCTAGAGAAAGGAATCTTAGATCCACCAAAGCTATAGAAAGGAATCATAGATCCACCAAAGCTATAGAAAGGAATCTTAGTTCCACCAAAGCTATAGAAAGGAATCATAGATCCACCAAAGCTATAGAAAGGAATCATAGATCCACCAAAGCTAGAGAAAGGAATCCTAGATCAACCAAAGCTATAGAAAGGAATCATAGATCCACCAAAGCTAGAGAAAGGAATCATAGATCCACCAAAGCTAGAGAAAGGAATCATAGATCCACCAAAGCTAGAGAAAGGAATCAGAAATCCACCAAAGCTAGAGAAAGGAATCATAGATCCACTAAAGCTAGAGAAAGGAATCCTAGATCAACCAAAGCTAGAGAAAGGAATCAGAAATCCACCAAAGCTAGAGAAAGGAATCATAGATCCACTAAAGCTAGAGAAAGGAATCAGAGATCCACTTAAGCTAGAGAAAGGAATCCTAGATCAACCAAAGCTATTGAAAGGAATCATAGATCCACCAAAGCTAGAAAAACGAATCAGAGATCCACCGAGCTAGAGAAAGAAATCATAGATCCACCAAAGCTATAGAAAGAAATCATAGATCGACCAAAGCTAGAGAAAGGAAACATAGATCTACCAAAGCTAGAGAAAGGAATCATAGATCCACTTAAGCTAGAGAAAGGAATCATAGACCCACTGAGCTACAGAATGAAATCTTAGATCCACCAAAGCTACAGAATGAAATCTTAGATCCACCAAAGCTACAGAATGAAATCTTAGATCCACCAAAGAAAATAACCAAAGAGAGGAATCTTAAGTTCACCAATGTAGAAGACATTCCTTTACATTATATATATCTTAAATATTTGGTGTCTTAACAATTCTGTCATCTTAGAAAATAGCAATTGGTCAAAGAACACTTAGAACTTGACATTGAACATACAGAATGATAAACTTGTAGTCACGGAAACAAAATACAAATCATGATTTTCAAATTTTATTATGATTATTGAAAATGTGTAATCCGTGACACTGATGGGATCATGTACACATACCCAACGTTTACACTGGAAAGTTACATTTTGACCTACAGCTCATCTCAATTTCCTGTTGGCTTTTATTTTCACTTTTGGACATTAAAACCTCGGTTATATATCACTTCGTAATATACAACCTATGTCATCTTAAAAAGTTACAAAGCTACTTGTAATGTACAATCTGTAATGTCACCTTCAAAAGAAACACTTCACAAAAACATTGAAATATATTACTACATTAGGTAGGACAGTGTATACAATGTTATACGGCTAGCTGTATATAAATTAGATGTTGCAGGGTGTATACAGGTCAAGCTAAGCCATTCAATCATATTTAAAATCATTCATTTCATTATAATGGAAATATAACGACAATTTACACAGGCTTGTTACTATGTTACGTAAACCATCTTTGATAGAAGTGTATAAAGACTAAACTATTAAAAACAAAAGGCCCATGGGCCTTAATGGTCACCTGATATATTTATACAGAGAGTTGATTTTGTTTTTAACATGAACAGAAATATTAATCAAAGTGACAAAAAACAATAAAACCACCTTATTCAATATCTAGCATACAGATTTCAGACTAAAAAGTATTTGAAACTAGCACCTCTGATTCTAAACAAGGAAAATGAAGAATTTTTAGCACACTGACTCCTTTGAGCCCCACCCTACAGCCCTTCGGGGTAGGGCTGGCTCAAAATTTTCAAAGTATCAAACTGTCAACTCAAGGTTATAATTCCAATCAAGTTATTAACATGTAATATTCAAAGTATCATTTGCCATTAT